CAGCACTGCTATGTAAATAGAGAACACTTAAGGTTAAACTTGAACTGAGGATGTGGTAGACAGCTTTCCAGGAATGCATCATAAAACACCAGGAGCTGTACAGCTCTGGATAATCCACAGTTAGAACCCACCTCTAGCAATCATTTGTAAGATCCAATGTGAGTACTTTTGCACTTATGGCTGATGTTGAAAGCTAAACACCTTAGATTCTATAAAAAAAAAAATTTCAGTCTGTATCAGTAATTAATAATTTTGGGGAAAGTATTTATGGATTAGCAGAGAGAAGACTATCAAACTCAGAGACAAATATTTACTGTAGAGCAAATGGGGACTGGATGCCCCTAAGAAAACATTTACTATCATAGATAATTTACAACCATGAATTCACATTCTTAAGGTGTGTGTGTGTGTGTGTAGAAATACCACAGTTAATGTGATTTTTTTTTTTGAGTTGTGTTTTAATGAGAAGCTTTTTCTTTCATGCCAACACAAATGGGAAAGAATACTGATCTTGTGGGCTGGAACAGTGTCTCAGCCTGGAAAGGTTAGGCTCACAACCAAATAGACAAGAATACTGGGCTTGCACTGAAGGGCATGCTAAACCCTCAGTGCCATCAGTGACTGGCCACTGGATGGAGCACAGCTCACAATGGTGCTCTGCAGAATGAAACAGAATTAGATTCTCCTTACAGTAGCTTCAATATACTCCTCAGCTATGAAGTGGCCTTTCCCTTGGGTGGGATTTGTTGTCAGGTTGACTGAAGATATTCAGAGAAAAAATAGTTAAGAGAGGCTACAGAATGGAAATAATATTTCTGGAATTTCACAGTCATTGTGTATAGTGTCCCTAACAAATCCTTTCTTTGGCTCCTGAGATGCTAATTAAATGTACATTATACTATCATTCTATCATATTAACTTTTCCAGATTTGTTGCTTTTAGGTTTCATTGATTTTTTTATTACCTATGTTACATTTTACTAATTCTCTCCTCAAACTGTATTCATTTAATCTTTAAAAATTTAGTTCATATGCTTCTTCGGAGGTCTTGTCTGGGGAGATGACTCAGAGGGTAACGTACTTGCCACAGAATCACGAGAATCTAAGTTTGAACCCACATACAGCCAGTCATAGTAGTATACATCTGTAATCCCAGAAGCCCCAAGGCAAGATAGGAGGAGGAAATGATAGTCCCAGAAGCTTGAGTGACAAAGAGCTCGTCTCAGACAAGGTGGAGGGGAAGACCTAACTAATACCACCAGCCTCCTTATGCCTGCTGTGACATGTGCACATGCATATCATACAAACTCACACACACACACACACACACACACACACACACACACACACACACACACAGAGTTAATAGGTCATCCTATAGATACAATTTTGTCCTACAAGAGTTACCGGGTGTGATTTTACAGAGCAAGACAATATCCTCAAGTTATGAACTCAATGAACTCAAGTTAACATAGCTAAAATGCAGGTAACAATGACTGTGAGTACAGCATTTCGTTTTTCTTATTGCTAAAGAAAGATTGCAGAGAGTCACCCTACACAAATGCCATCTTCCTATCCTCTGCAAGCTCGCTGCATCCTTGGATAATTTTAATCAACTTTGTCCCATGTGACTTTCCTGCTTTCTCCTTGCCAGATGTGAGAGCATGGAGCTCGATGACAAAATCCGGGATCTGATAGCTGGCACCCCAGAGGCCACATCCAGTCACAGAAATGGCCACTCTCCAAAGGTAAGGAGCTATTTTCTTTCTAGTTTATCTCAACACGCACTCAACAATTTGTTCACCCAAATCATTTATGGTCAGCCATGAACTTCTTTGATACCTGAGAAGGGAGTGTGAACCTGCACAAACCTTATCTTCCAGTCCGTATAAGGCCCCTGAGAAGGGGAGCCTGAAGCATCAGGGGGAGCCTGGAGCAGCAAGGGGGGGGGGGCTGAAGTGGAGCACCATGGCTTTCAGGAGAGTAAGAAGGACACCAACTACTAGAAAGAACACTGAATACAGCAAAGCCACCTTTGGAGAATGTGACCCAGTTGGTTAAAATCAGCACAATGCACGCCCATGTTTGTTTGCTGTTGATTTTATTTCCCTCTGCATTGCTTTAATGGTGGGGGTGTGGGAGCACTTTACCGATGAAAGGAATTATTTCAGCTTTTAATTTCCTTGTCTTTGAAGACATTTGTTGGTGTAGTTATACTCTCCTTTAGGCCACCAGCTCACAAATAACAACAAAGAGACTTATTAATTATGAAAGCTTGGCCTTAGCTTAGGCTTTTACCCCAGCTAGCTCTTATAACTTAAATTTACATTTATATTAATCTACATTCTGTCATGTGACTTGCTTACCTCTCCTCTGTACCATATGTCTAAATTCTTCAGTGTCTCCTGGCATCTCCGCTCACCTCGATTCATCTCCTCTTTCTCTCTGTCCCCAGAAATGCCTACTATCCTCTCCTGCTTAGCTATTGGCCATTCAGCTCTTTATTAAACCAATCAGAAGGTGCCATGACAAAGACACATCTTCACAGTGTACAAAAAGATTATCCCACAGCAGCACTGCTATGTAAATAGAGAACACTTAAGGTTAAACTTGAACTGAGGATGTGGTAGACAGCTTTCCAGGAATGCATCATAAAACACCAGGAGCTGTACAGCTCTGGATAATCCACAGTTAGAACCCACCTCTAGCAATCATTTGTAAGATCCAATGTGAGTACTTTTGCACTTATGGCTGATGTTGAAAGCTAAACACCTTAGATTCTATAAAAAAAAAAAATTTCAGTCTGTATCAGTAATTAATAATTTTGGGGAAAGTATTTATGGATTAGCAGAGAGAAGACTATCAAACTCAGAGACAAATATTTACTGTAGAGCAAATGGGGACTGGATGCCCCTAAGAAAACATTTACTATCATAGATAATTTACAACCATGAATTCACATTCTTAAGTGACCCCTGTGAAAGGATTGTTCCTGCCCCCCAAAGGATTGCGACCCACAGACTGAGAACCACTGGATGTGACCTTGCCCTTGTGACTGTTATAGCTTGAAGTCCTTAGTGATGGCTGTCCCTCCTACTATTCCCTCCCTGTCTCTCTTTAATCTTCCTGTTCCAGTCTTCCCCTCCTTGGCTCTCCATGGCTGTATATTCTATTTCTTCCTTGTTTGATCCTTTTCCCCTACCCCTAGTCTCTTACTCTATACCTAACTTCTGTGGTTATATTGATTGTAGCATGCCTACTGAAGGCATAAAAGCTAACATGTAAGAGAATACACACACACACACACACACACACACACACACACACACACACACACAAATTGTCATTTTGAGTATGGATTACCTCACTATATGTGATTTTTTTTTTTAGGTCCATGTACATCCCTGTGAATTTTGTGATTTTTTTGAACAGTTGAGTAATATTTCATTTTGGAAACATACTTCATTATCATTTCTATTGAAGGGCATCTAGGTTGTTTCCATATTCTCACTGTTATGAATTGAGCAGCAATGAACATGGTTGAGTAAGTATCTCTGAAGAAAAATGGAGAGTCTTTTCATTAAATGCCCAAGAGGGATATAGCTGGATCTTGAAGTAGACAGATTTCCAGCTTCCTCGGTGACTGCCATACTGATTTTCATTTCCTGTTCAGAATGTCTTTTCCTGTGTCAGTGAGTTCAAGACTACTCCCTACTTGCTTTTCTATCAGATTTAGTACATCTGGCCTTATGCTGAGGTCCTTGATATATATATGGAATTGAGTATTGTGCACAGTGATAAGTATGACTCTGTTTGGATTCTTCTACTTGTAGCCATCCAGTTTGACCAGTACCACTCATTGAAGGTGCTGCCTTTCCTCCCTATGTATTTCTGTCTTCTTTGCAAACAATTGCATGCCATTAAGCTTGTAGGCTTAAGTTTGAGTCTTCAATTCCTTTGATCAATATTTTTGTTCTTATACCATTATCATAGCTGTTTTTTATTACTATAGCTCTATAATACAATTTGAGATGAGGGATGGTAATAACCCTAGCAGTTCAGGATTGTTTTAGCTATTTTGGGTTTTTATGTTTCCATATGAAACTGAAAATTGGTCTTTTGAGTTCTGTGAAGAATTGTGTTACAATTTTGTGGCTGATTGTATTGAATCTGTAGATAGCCTTTGGCAGGATGACCATTTTCACTCTATTAATTCCACTCATCTATGATCATGGCAGATCTTTCCATTTTCTGATATCTTCTTCAATGCCTTTAAGTTTTTATTATTCATTTGCTTGGTTAGAGTTAACCTAAGATTTTTTTTTCAGACTGTTGTGGTAGGTATATTGTTTCCCTGCTTTCTTTCTCAGCCTGTTTATCATTGGTATATAGGAGGGCTACTGATTATTGTGTGTTAATTTTGTATCTGGCTACATTAAAGAATGTGTTTATTAGCTATAGAAGTTTCCTGGTGGAGTCTTTAGGCTCCTTTATGTAGAATATCATACTTTCTGCATAAAAAGAGATTTCAACTTCCTTTCTTATTTTCATTCTCTTGATCTCCTTTGTTTAATTGCTTTAGCTAACACTTAAAAGTACTATATTGAATAAGATAGAGAAAGTGGAATGCTTGGTCTTATTTCTGAATTTAGTGGAAATACTTGAGTTTCTATCTCTTTATGTTGATGTTATCTGTGGGCTTTTGGTAAACTGTCTCTATTATTTTGAAGTATAACCCTTGTATCTCTAGTATCTCCAAGACTTTTAACATGAAGGGGTGTTGGATCTTGCCAAAGGCTTTTTCGTCATCTAATGAGATGACCTGTGTTTTTTGTCTTTCAGTCTGTTTATATCAATTTACTTTACAATTTCATCCCTGCATCTCTGGCGTGAAGCCTATTTGATCATGGTGGATGATGTATTTCATGTTTTCTTAGATTCAGTTTGTACTTTATTTAGAATTTTTGCGTCTATGTTCATTAGGGAACGTGCTCAGTAATTTTCTTTTTCTGTTGGATCTTTCTGCAGTTTAAGTATCAGGGTATTTGTGGTCTCATAAAAAGAATTGGGAAATGTTCCTTCTGTTTCTATTTTGTAGCATAATTTGAGAAGCATTTGTGTTATTTCATCTTTGAAGGTATAGTAGAATTCTTCCCTGAGTCCATTTGGCCCTGGCCTGTATTTGGTTAGGAAACTTTTAATTACTGCTTCTATTTTACAAGAGGTCATGAGTCTGTTTAAATTGCTTATCTAATCTTGGCTTAACTTTGGTAGATGCTATATATCAAGAAATTTATCTATTTATTTTAGGTTTTATAGTTTGCTGGAATACAGATTTTTAAAATATGTCCTTATGATTCTCTAAATTCCTTAGATGTCTGTAGCTAGAGTTTTCCTGCCTTGCCCACAGCCAGGACAAATCTTTGTCACCCACCAGTCCCACAGCCGCTCAGATCCAACCAAGTAAACACAGAGACTTATATTGCTTACAAACTGTACGGCCATGGCAGGCCTCTTGCTAACTGTTCTTAGAGCTTAAATTAATCCATTTCCACAAATCTATACCCTGCCACGTGGCTCGTGCCTTACTGGCATCTTCACATGTTGCTTGTCCTGGTGGCAGCTGGCAGTGACTCCTTCTGCCTTCCTGTTCTTTCTTTTCTCCTCTCTGTTAGTCCCACCTATACTTCCTGCCTAGCCACTGGCCAATCAGTGTTTTATTTATTGACCAATCAGAGCAACACATTTGCCATACAGAACATCCCACAGCAGATGTCTGCTGTTATGCTCCCATTTTGTCTCTAATTTTATTAATTTGGAGCTACTCTGTCTTTTAGTTAATTTGGCTGAGTTTGGCAATCTTACTAATTTTCTAAAAACACCAACTCCGTGTTTCATTGGTTCTTTGCATTGTTTTTGTTGCCATTTCTATTTTATTGATTTCAGCTCTGACTTTGATTATTTCTTGCTATCTACTATTTTAAGATGTTAAAATTTTGTTTTGTTTGAGAGATTTCAGATATACCATCAAATTGCTATTATGAGATCTCACCATGGTTTTTTTGTTTTGTTTTGTATTGCTATGATCTTGCCTTGTAGAACCACCTCCATTGTGTCCCATTAGTTGCGGTATGTTGTGTTTTCATTTTCAATCAATGCTAAAATGTTTTTATTTTTTTTATTAATTTTGTCTTGACTCATTTTTGATTCAGTAGTAAGTTGTTCAGTTGCGATGAGCTTATATACTTTCTGTTGTTGATGATATCCAGCTTTAAGATGTGGTGGTCAAATGGGATGGAGTGTGTTACTTCAATTTGCTTGTATCTGTTGAGACTTGCTTTGTGTCCAAGTATGTGGTTAAGTTTGGAGAAAGTTTCATGAGCAGCTGAGAAGAAAGTATATTGCTTTGTGTTTGGGTGAAATATTCTGTAAATTTCTGCTGGGTTCACTTCATTTATGTATTTTACTACAGCATTTCTGTTTAGTTTATGTCTCTCTGTATACACTGTATACAAGTCAATGTGTTATTTTAGCTGTCATAGTGTTTCTTTTATAAACTTGTATACCCTATGCTTGGTGTATAAATGTTTAGAATCACAATATCCTCTTGTGAATTTTTCCTTTGATGAGTATGTAGTGTCCCTTCATATTTTCTTCTGATTAATTTTCATTTGAAGTTTATTTTGTCAGATATTGAAATGGCTACACAGGCTTGCTTCTTAGGTCCATTTGCTTGGAATATATTTTT